CCCGCTACCGCCGCCGCCGACCGCATGCGGGAGGCATGACTCAGTCCCCAGGTGTAAGTTAAGCGAAGGGGAAGGGTTTTGGGTGACTCGAGTGCATTCGGAGGAGAGGCGTCGGCGCGGGACAGAGCGTGACGTCGCGCGCTCCTCTGCTTGATCTCTACGACGTCGTGCCGTAGGGGTCGTGTTCCTCTGGCAGACGGGCGGTCGCTGGCGGCTGCTTTGTGGTAGGTGCGAGGGGGTGAGGAGGGGTGAGGGGGGGGTGAGGGAGGGGGCGTGTGTACAATACTCCTGTGTCATAAGTGAGAGCAAGATAAAGTTCCGCGCTTAACCATAAATTGATACATAACCTACACTGTTCCCACTTAACATGCGTCTCGTGTGCAGTTGTTGAAGGTAAAACACCCAAGAAATCATGCCTCTTATTTGCATCAGAATGGTGTCACAGAGAACTTGCATTAATGAGTCGCAAGAGAAACTTAGATGGAGCGCGGCCTCGCTCCTTGCCTCCCTGCTACGGCGACCCCGGGTCATAGTCGGTCGAGCAAGCTTTCCCGCAGTTGCCTTCGAGGTGGCGTCGAGTGGAGGCCTTCTCCTTACGGCGAGGACTACGGGTACAAGGGATTAAAGAGGCCCCTGGGACAGCCTCCGTCATAAGGGGGCTCCGCCGCGGCCTGGCACAGTGCCAAGGTTGTAGTACGCTGGCTGACTGGCGCCGCGTGCGTCTGAATGTGTGAGTGTGTGTGTCCCTCTGCACGTCTCTTTCGCTCGTGATTTATTCTTGTTTGCGTTGTATCGAGTTGAATGCTGGCCTATAATTATGCTCAGCACAATTTTCACTTCTGCTGCCAGCCCGCCCTGAGGATTGCCCTCTGCACCTTGCCACTTGCAGCGAACACTCGCGTATACAAACGCATGCAAATGACGTCGCATGTGCCTGGTGGAATAAACAAGCAGATGTGGATAAATATACGTATTTCGATAAACATGCACTGGTAGACCCCGAGCCACAATTCTCATTCGCATGCGAGCCACGCAACCCGCAGTAAAAAAGGGAAATACCTTCATTTTAGGCCTGTACGTTTCTTGAAAGCAAAAACCCGAGGAGACAGGGAAGGGGCACCTAGGATGCCCTGCAGTGGAGCAGGAGGAGCGGGGGGGGGAGCAGGGGCGGGGAGCCAGGTGTCCAGCGAGGGCACGGGAGGGGGGGGGAGCCAGGTGTCCTGCGACAGGAGCTAATGCTGCAGTGACTCATGTTTACGAGTCGCAGCTTTGCCCGACCGATTCAGGTGGGAGGGATACGTGCTTTACGGCCTCTGTGATTACTTAAACAAGGGACGCCCGCGCGCTCCCTTTTCCTCGTCGGGTTCATTAATACTTAGCCAAGGGAACGGCTGTCAGGGACATATCAAGCCCTGTCATAATTGCTATGAATACTGATATTGCTAGTGGTTTCATTAGGGGTCTTCTTGGTGTAATTATCGTGGTTGATGTTATGTTATTATTAATTTTATCTTTATTATTATCATTATCATTATCATTTTTAGCATTTTTCTTATTATTGTTGTTGTTGCTGTTGTTACCATTACTACTTATTGCCAATAGGCCTATTATTTATTGTTATTACTTATTGCTATTATTATTTATTATCATGATTATTGCTTTGATTATTATTATTATTACCCATTATTATTATAGTAATTATTATTATTATTATTGTGATCATCGTTACTGATGTTTATGTTATTATTATCATTATAATGATAATAATGATTATTATTATTATCATTATTATTATTATTGTTATTATTTCATCATACTTTTGTTATCATTATTATTATTATTATTATTATTGTTATTGTTATTGTTATCATTGTTATTATTATTAGTAGTATAATTATTATTATTATTGTTGTTGTTGTGTTCACTGTTATTATTATTAGTAGTAGTAGTAGTATTAATATTATTATTATCATTATCATCATCATCAACATCAACATCATTTGTATTAGTAATGTTATTTTTATCATCATCATTCTTGTAATTATTTCAATAAAAAAACAGTAATATTCATCGTAGAAACCGATTTTCAGTTCATTTCGAAAAGGGGAGGATTGCCTTTTATGTTAATCGTGCACAAAAACAAAAGTTAAAAGTTATTCCGTCGTATAAAACTCGCATAAGAACATTTTCAAGTTAATATTTTGATTTTCAACAACTAGTGGAAGAAAGTTTATTGCCTTTTGTTCACCAGCGATGCGGTTAAACGCAAAAAAAATAACCTCTTAGGATTTCTGCTCAAGTGAACCTCGGTTGTATTAATTACAAGCTTCGGTCAGTCTTCGTTTTTAATGTGATTTAATTCCTAAGGGGGAAGGATTGCAGTTGAGCAGAGAGAGAAAGGCATACACGGAAATAAAAGGCAAAAGTAATGAATTAATTTGCCAGCAGGATCCCCCCAAAAAATGATAATACATTCATTCATTGATTAAATGAAACCGCACCGCTTTAGACATACCAAGATTCTTCATTAGCATACATTAATGTTGACACTGAGTCTTACAAAGATTTAGAACTCGAGACAAAGGCCACGAGATTAAGAGAGTTACTCTGATTTTCAATAAATCTAGTTTGTGTATTATGTATTTTGTTCTACCTGAGTTACTCTTGTTAGAACCTTTTTTATTTGCATTCCTGTTATTACGACCACTACTTCTACCGTTATGCTTTTGTTATTTTCAGTATCAGGATTACTAACCAAAAAAATCTAGTATTAGAAGGAGATAGTAGATTATATAGTATCTTGAGTATTTCTATAAAAAAGCTATTAACGGTACTTATGTTCTTTTAAATACCATTGTTATGATTTTACTAGTAACGTTGTTATCATCATCACTCTAAATTATTTTCGTGCCGTGAATACAAATATAATCTGTTGGCGTTGTGACGAAGATTAGATAAGGGATTTTGACTTCCGGGGCATTTCGTGTCGCCGAAGTCCCAAATGAATGGATGATTATGTCGCCCATTTCCTCATCGTTATACAAAGACTGGGAAATAGCCGTGTTTCTAAAGAGGGGGAGGGGAGGGGTGGGAGGGGGGACGTGACAGATGGAGATTGATTGACACGTCCATGGGAATGCTATTTCGAATTGAGAGGGGGGAGGGGGGAGGAAGAGGAGGAGTGAGAGAGAGAGAGAAAGAGGGGGTGAGAGAGAGAGAGGGGGGTGAGAGAGAGAGAAAGAGGGGGGTGTGTGAGAGAGAGAGAGAGAGAGAGAGAGAGAGAGAGAGAGAGAGAGAGAGAGAGAGAGAGAGAGAGAGAGAGAGAGAGAGGTGGATGGAGAGTGACGTGCAAAGTAACCTTTCCTGCACAGCTCCGGCCGCACCCTGTTCGATTGGCGCCGTTGGAAATCACGCTCCGCTGGGATCGCGCTGTAGCCTCCGAATGGCGATGCTTGCAATGCACGGGCCGCAGGAGCTCTTGGCTGCCCCGGGGGAAGTCAGGCGGTGCTAAGGGCCAAGGAACGGAGAGGGAAGGGAAACTCTCTCTCTCTCTCTCTCTCTCTCTCTCTCTCTCTCTCTCTAATATATATATACATATATATAAATATATCATATATATATATATATATATATATATATATATATATATATTATATATATATATTATATATATATATATTTATATATATATTTATATATTTATATATATGTAGATGTATAGGTATACATATTCCTTTCTCTCCCTCTCCCCCACCATTCCTTCCTTCCTTCCTCTCCCTCGTCCTCTCCTTCCCTGCCACCCTTTCTTGCGTATCTTGTTATGTAACACACTCTTACCTTTTTGAGTGATCTTGTCTTGAAAAAAATCACTTTGCTAGTATCATATTTTCCCCTCTACCCTCCCCTCCCCTCTCCTCCCCTACCATACCCTACCCTCCCTTCTTCCTCTCCCTCCCTTCCTCCTCTCCCTCCCTTCCTCCTTACCCTCCCCTCCCTCCCTCTGCTCTCCTCCCCTCCCCTCTCTTTTCCGTCACCCCCCCCCCTCCCCCGCGTCTGTCTCTCTCGTGCCTTTTAACCAAGCAGCGTCGGAACCTTGACAGAAAGTTCCAGTAGGTTTCGTCATACTTCATAATAGCGATCGGCCCTGAGTCGTCATCGTCTTCGCCGCTCCGGCACGGCGTCGCGCACGTCAGATTCGACTCGCACGTGACTGAAATGACATCGGGAATTGTATAGTCCGTGTAGGCTACAGCGGTGAAGTCCTAGCAGTTCTTTTTCCCAGTGTGAGATGACGGACTAGCTTATGATATCGGCCGCGAGTCTTCTGATGTCGCCATATTTCGCGTTATCTCCGTCACATTCCCCTTACTTTTTTGAGCTGTGCGTCTTGTGGGAGGTTTGAGTGAGAGTGATCGCGCACGGCTCATAATTGCCGTGCTCAGACGGTGACGCATTTGGCTAAATAAGGCTAAAGTGCGTCTGTCCCAAGTCGAATAAGGCGCCACAAATTCCCCGCTTGGCAACCGCGCCTGCGAAAGGCACCAGGTTTCGTGTTTTGTTCTTCGCCGAAAAAATAGATAAAAGTGTTTCGTAAGTGAGCAGATCAGTTGCTTCGTGTTGCAGCATCGGGAGGCAGGAGGGCGCGATGGCGAGGCCGAGGGTCCCCCGAATGTCTTGACTCATAATTAAAAGAAGCGCGACTCACAGCCTCGCCTCCCGTCTCGCGCTGCTCGCCTCTTCTCGTCACGTCGACTCGTCTTGTGATCGACCGGTCGAAGGTACGATAACGAGCGATAGTCCTTATCGAGCTCCTTACCGAGGGAGGGGGGGGGTTTAAATCGATTCTCATACTCTCTGCCATACCTGTGCCTCAGGGTCGTCTTATCGGGGTCGGCCTCCGGAACCCCGATAGACGGACCCGACACGTGACCGAGGCCGACCATCTCCCGGGATATTTTTCCCTCGGTCCAAAAAATTAATGTTCCCGTTTGGTGTTTCAGGAAGATCACCCCGGGTCTGATGCCCCCCGGCTCCCCCGGGACGTACCGCAAGAAGTCGGCGTCCGTGGAGCTGCCCGCCGCGCTGCAGCAGCTGCCGCGGCCGCACCGAGGCAGCGTTTGCGGCGACGCCAAGATGGCCGAAGACAAGCCCTGGCCCAACACCAAGGACGACTACGAGCTCAGGGAAGTCATAGGTAAGCCCTGCAGCCGCCCCTCGCCTCCGTCAAGGATTCAGGCATCCTCCGGGGGCGCGACCGGGGAGGAAATCGCCGGCGAAGGGCCCCAAAAGGGAGAGAATCGGGCGGCCTGGCTCCCGGGCCCTCGGTCGGCCCCTCCCGGCACGGACGTGTTTTGGTGCGAGTGTCAGGTGTGTGCGTGTCATTTCTCGGTGTCGTGGCACTCCCTCGCCCCGTGCCGCGTTGGGCGTGGAGGAGGAGCAGGACGAAGGAAGGCAGGGCCTCACTGGGGACCCAGAAAAATCCCCAGGAGGAGAGGCATCCGTGTGAAGGAACTCGAGAGCGGATACGAGTTTTCTTCGATGAGCGAGTGACGGGCCCGTTTTCTCTTTGGCCGTGTGTCTGTGTCTGCTGCTGCGTCGTCTGCTGGGCCTTTATTCTGCTTTGCAATACCCCCTTCCTTCTGCAGACGACCCCCTAAGGGCGAGTGCCCGGAGCAATACCCGAGGGGCGAGGCAGGATGCGCCCCCAGCCAGGAGGGAGGACCCGTGGGATGTAGGCCTATGTCCACCTCCAGTGTCACATGACTCAACGTCACTAATTTCATAGTCGTTAGGCCTATGGGGGACAAGGCTGTGGGAGAATTTCGAAGGTGTCAAGAGTTGGGAGAAATATGCCTCCTCATATTCTTGTTTGTGTTTTTCTTTGTGCCTAATTGCTGTAGTCTTGAAGGATTGATTTGTGTGTAGTCTGCAGGGAATGGCTTTTTATTCCTTGACATTTAGATTAGCAAGAAAGTTAAATGTCAGTCTCATGTTTATCTCTGAAATTTGAAAGTTGGAAATATCTTTTTTTGCTCGATATGGGAAATATGACAGCCTCATTCACGCTGGCTGGTTCGTTCATTAAATGTGCCCGGCTGCAGCGAGGAACTCTCGATTGTCAAGCTGTGCATTTTTTGTTCCCAGCGCAGGAATGACGTAGATTTGGAATCAGATAGTTAAATCAGTTAGTTAAAGTACATCCACTATTTGGGTCAGAATTTTTTTTTAACTATTAGGCACTTTATATATATTCCAATTATTTATGTAATGGAAATGGTTATTATTAACATTCAAAGAATACTTTCTGTCTGCATTATCGATACTGTAAAAGTAAAATTATTCAGTAACTGAAATGCAATACGGAAATGTTGAAAGAAAAATGGTGATGTGAAATCTAATTTTAGATGAATATTTAATCATATTAATAGGCAATAATAATTATAATGATACTAGTAATAAGAATAACAGTAAGATTAATACTACATTTAACTTTGTTGCAAAATCTGAGTAGGGTGGAAGCTGCTGGAACATGTGTCGGATTACAGTTATTGATTTATTGAATGAAGTAGCTGTACGGTATGGAGGTTCACACCAGCATTCCAGAGTGCGAGTGTTTGTGCGCATTTGCAAGTGTCAGTATTTATGCCTGCATCGGTGTAAGGAAAGGACATTTATTAAGAGTGATATATTACTTGGAGTGATACCAATATAAGATATTTTTTCGCATTGTTTTGTTGCATTTTCTTCCAAAAATATTTTGTTTGGCATGATCATCTGGAATGTCATAGCCTTGAAATTCACATTATATTTTCACAATTATTGATTTTATATCAGTTACCCATATGTTTAGTCGCTTTGTGTTTGCAAAGTTATTACTAGTTTTGATGATGATTATCATTTTTATTAATTGCAGTAGAATAATGATTATTGATGAAAATCTTCCTTATTTTCTATTGATTTATATTCGGTATTGATTTTGAAATTTGAATTATTAGAAACTATTGAGAATATTTTATCCAGTTGTTCTTAGCTTTCATTGTTGTTAACATTCCTGCCATTACTATAGTGGTTGCCATCGCAGTCAACATCATCATTCTTAGCATTATGACAGTTACCAATCATGTTTATTTTTCCTAATGATTCAGTTGTATATCACTCTTATTATTAGGATATTTTTTACAAATGTTATCAACATTATTTTTGTAAATATTACATTTATAATAGTTAGTGTTCATTTTTTTTTTCACATCTTATTTATTTATATATTTATTTTTATTTTTATTTTTGTTATTATTACTCTTTAAGATCATGTTATTTTTGTTGTTATAATTGTAATTGTTATTTTTATTATTATTATTATTATTATTATTGTTGTTGTTGTTTTGTTGTTATTGTTATTATTATTATTATTATTATTATTATTATTATTATTATTACTGTTATTATTATTATTATTATTATTATTACTGTTATTATCATTATTATTGTTGTTATTGTCATTATTATTAATATGATTATGATTTTATTATTATTATTATTATCATCATTATCATCATCCTTGTCATTATTGTTATTATTATTATCGTTGATATTATTATTTCTATTGATATTATTATAGTTGTTGTAGTTGTTGTTGTTATTGTTATTATCATCATCATTATTATTATTATTATTGTTTTGATTATTATAATTGTTATTGTCATTGTTACTATTATTATTATTATCATTATTATTGCTATTATTGTTGGTGTTATTATTATTATTTTTATAATTATTATTATTATAATTATTATTATTATTATTATTATTATTATTGTTGTTACTGGTACCATTATTATTTTTATTAATACTAATAACAATAAAAATTATTATATTATCATCATCATTATCATTTTTGTTATTGGCATTGTTATTGTTGTTATCATTATTATTATTTATTTTTATTATTATTATTATCATTATCATTATTATTGCTATTGCTGCTGCTATTGTTATTTTTATTGTTATTAGTATTGATGTTAATATTAACATTATTATTAATATTTACATTAATATTATCAATGAACTGTATTCATGTTGACAGATATAGAAAAGATATGAATGAGAATAAATATCTTCACAATACAAGAGACGTATTTGCCTGTTTTCGATCATATCTTTGTGAGAAATGCATGAATTTCTGACGAAGATATAAACGTAGCCGGTCAAATTCATCTCTTGCGTTGGGAAGATATTCATTCTCATTCATACCTTTTCTACATTTATATTATCATTATTATCATCAATATCATTATTATTGTGATTATTCATCATTATTATTATTATTATTATTATTATTATTATTATTATTATTATATATTATTGTTATTATTATTATTATATATTATTATTATTGTTATTATTATTATTATTATTATTATCATTAATATTATTATCATAATTAATATCATTATTATTATTATATGAATATTATTATGAATGATGATATTATTATTATCATTACTGTTTTTCTCATTGTCTTTTTTTTTTATTATTTTTATTATTACGATTAATGTTGTAGTTGTCATTATTATTATTGTTGTTGTCATTATGATTATTATTTGATATTATTTTATCGTTATCATTAGTGTAATTATTATTATTATTATTGTTATTATTATTATTACTGTTGCTGTTATTAATGATGTGATATTGTCATATTATCAGCATTATTGAAGCTGTCAGTATTAGACTGTCACTATTTTGTGATTATTAATACTGAATATATTATTTTTATTATTTTTATAATTACTACTGTTTTTGTATTTTATATAATTGGTAGTTGCAGTGTTACAATTACTGTTATTATTTTTTTATTGTTATTTTTTCTAGTTATTATTATTATTGTTATTATTATTATTGAGGAGCATTATTTTCATCATCATTGTTATTGTTATTGCTAATGTTATTTTTTGTTATTATTATTATCATCATCATCATTATCATTATCATTATCATTTACATTGTAATGAATAGTATAATGACTACTTTGTTTTTTTATTGTTGTTGTTATTGTCATCATCATTATTGTAGTTTTTATTATAACCCTTATTACTATTTTTATTATTATTATTATTATTATTATTATTATCATAGTTACTATTATGATGATGATTATTGTTGTCATTATTATTATTATTATTATTATTATTATTATTATTATTATTATTAGATGTTATTGTCATTATCTATAGCATTATGTTTATTATCATTATTTTTATTTTTTGTCATCATTATCGTCATTATTATCAGTTAGTGTTATTAATGTTGTGTTACTTATCATATTATTATTAGGATTTTGACTACTGTTTTTATTATCATCATCATCGTCATCTATATCTTTAGAATTATTAATGTTATTATTGGGTTATCTTTTTTTTTCTCTCTCTCTCTCTCTTTTTCTTTTTACCCAATTGGCATACATGGCAAGAATACATGCCATCCCCACTGTAATAAAAGTTTATTTCTATTTACACATAGATGGCTCTACAAGTGCTTAATCACCAAGGAGTTATTAGTCCTGCCTGTCTTTCCTGTTTATCCTTTTCATTAACTTTTGGAAAGGGTCTTTTTTTAATTATTTCATTGTCTTAAATGTTACCAAGATTTTAATAACAACTATTATAGCATCAATAACAATAATAACAGCATTGATATCAACTGTATTAAAAAGAAAGACATAATTTCCTGCCAATTCAAGGAATGGGCAAATCAGGATCGGTCACTAGGGCCTGCCATTACACTCCTTGCCAGCTGAGCGCATATGGAGCCATGTAACAAAATTCACAAAAATTATATATATATAGGACAGAATATAAACCCATGGTGGATGGGGTCAATGCTTGATATTAACGCAGTGCTTCAGCAAAAATGATAGTGTTTACTGTGGTATTGTTATGTGAAATGTCGCTACACATAAATGGCTGTACAAGGGCATAGCCACCGAGGAATTAACTAGTAGAACTCATACCTTCTCCTGATTTCACCTTTTCTTGAGTTTTTGGGAAAAATTGTTTTTTCTTCTAATGCAGTCAATGTTGATGCTGTTATTATTATTATAATCGTTCTAATGCTATTGATATTACTAATTGCAGTATAGGATACATAAAAATCTTCCCAAAAATCCAGGAAAAGAGTAAATTGATGAGATAGGTAGTATTAGTAATTGGCTCTCTGGTGGCTTCGTATTTCTGGATCTTTATGTAAAGACAATTAATAAACTAAACTGGCATGTACTTACATCCAGTCCCCAGTTAATCATCAAGATAATAGTAGTATTGTATTTGATATTGTTAACCCAATCACCCCAGATGGCAAAGATTTTAGTTTGTTAATGTATTTACTCAGAGATGACTCCGCAAGTGCTTAGTCACTAGTGAGTCAGTTATAAGTCCTTGCTTATCACCTGCTTGCCCTTTTTCCTTGATTTAAGAAAAAACTTATTTCATTTTTATAAAGAATATCTTCATAACATGATAATCATATTATTCATAACGATAGTAACAGTATCAATACAAAATATTTTCCCATAATTTCAAGCAATGGGGAAATCAGGTGCAGTTACTAGGGCCTACTAATTGACTCCTTGGTGGCTGAGCTCTTGTGGGCTGGACCCATCTGTGTGCAAAAAAAAATCATAAAAAAAACTACATTGGACAGTCATAGACCCAGGGTGAGTGGGCTAATGTTAGATTACTTGTACCATGGTAGTGGGAATTCATTTTTCATGTGTTCCTTGTGTTGGGGATTTGATTTATACTTTGTTATTATTATTGCTACTCTCTCTCTCTCTCTCTCTCTCTCTCTCTCTCTCTCTCTCTCTCTCTCTCTCTCTCTCTCTCTCTCTCTCTCTCTCTCTCTCTCTGTCTCTCTCCCTCTCTCCCTCCCTCCCTCCCTCCCTCCCTCCCTCCCTCCCTCCCTTCCTTCCCCCCCCCCCTCTCTCTCTCTCTCTCTCTCTCTCTCTCTCTCTCTCTCTCTCTCTCTCTCTCTCTCTCTCTCTCTCTCTCTCTCTCTCTCTCTCTCTCTCTCTCTCTTTGGATAATGCTGCTGCATTTTCTGTATAATCACTGTTAGCATCAGTACTTTTTCTATCAAAAAAGTTAAAAATGTAACTGGAGAATATTTGCTGGGCGGAGGGAGGCTGAGACTATGAGCAAAGGAGACTAATAAGCAGAAACAATCCCAAGAGTTATCTGTGAACATAATTGCTTGTTTTATGCTCTACTTTACATCCGCAATATGCTCAGTGAACATTTATGCTATCTGAATCAGTTGCTGTACAAATACCATGTTTTATAGCAGTGTGGTAGAGGGAATAGTGCAAAATGAAGCCTTCAGACTAAACATTTTGCACATTGGTTGTGACTGTGGTAATACAAATAGTGCAGTGCAGGAGTCATTCTGCATGAGGTTGGATGTTCAATGTTGGAGGCATATTGCAGTGTGGATATTGAGAGGGGGACAACTATTTAGTTATGGCCTTGATGTTGCAGTAGTTTGTTTTCTTTATTTTCATTATAACATACATGATTTAGACGAACCTTTCACAACTGGAAGTTCATAGTTTCTGCTATAATTTGATATTTGCCAGGTTATTGTTATGCTATATTTCTTTTTCTGTTGTTATTGCTTATCAATAGGAGGAGATATTTTGACTGTTCAAGCTTCATAAGGAGTGAATGATTAATGTAAATGATATCCCAAAATTTGTATGTTAAATTTTTTTTTTTTTTTCTCATTCTTTCTTTATTTGTGTATACTTATTATCACTATTTAGTCATTTACTCTTATTCCTTTATTGGGATAATTTTTGTCATTATCATTATTTCCAGTGTAATTGTTACCTCCTATATGCCTGTCTTTCTTTCTTTTTTCTTCTCCATTTCCCTATTGTTATCTATCCTTTCCCTTTCTATATTAGATACATGCTCTGCCTTCTAGCCCCTAGCTTGCCACGAGCAGGGTATTCGCAGGGAGAGAAAAGCGAGTGTCTCATTAAAAGGGGCAGAGCTAAGGGACTCCCATTCCCTTTCTCCTTTTTCTTATTTTATTAATTTTTTGTTACTTTGATTCATCTTGCACTCTTTGTTGCTACCTCTCTTGTGCACCTGGATTTAGAGAAGGTCAAGTTTGCCTGATGTTCTAATGCAATAAGAGAGAAAATGTTGAATGCAAGCAGCAAGGGTTAGTCTAGAATAACCAGGATGAGACAATAATTTTCCTCACTTGAGTGTCCGATAATGTCATCTTGCCCCCATGAATCTGCCATTGAACTTGGCCAGTGACCTGTATATTGACTTTGCTTGTTGGGAACATTAGTAGATGAGATCTTGAGTTGCCAGTTATTTTTTTATTTTTATTTTTTTGTTTTTGTTTTTGTTTTTGTTTTTTGTTTTGGTGGAGTGGAAAATCGAGGTGATTCTTTCAGGAGTTGGTCCTGAGGGAATAGCTAGAGTAGGAATTGTTGGAGGCTGGCAAAGCAGTGTCAAAGCTCCATCATTAGGGAGTATTTATTGAAGATTAGCACCCTGTCAGTACACAGTGTTTGTATACCATCACAGTTTCACAAGTTTAGCATTAGTTGAGTGGATTGTATTAAGACAGGTTAAGATATGAATGAGAATTAATGTCTTTCCAGTCCAAGAGATGTTTTTGAAGCATTTTGATCATATCTTCATCTGAAATACATTTATCAACATGATTGCAGAACTTGTATATATCAGATATGAGCTGAAGATTCATCTGAAATTCATGATCTGCCAGTCACTGCCCACATAATTGTTGCCATGACTTTGGAGGATTTGAAGTTGCCCAATGTTGTGTTGACAATATTAGCAGCTTTCCTTATTTTGCTTTTCTTAATCAGTGCAAGTTGCATAGGCTCAGATGGAAGTAGATGTAAACACAGCATGGGCAGCTCAAAATTGTGGCAGCAGATATGTGGCTAATAAGCAGCAGAGTAGGGATGTTATGTTGAATCATCAGCTCATGTCCAATATATATGTTTTGTAATATTGCTGATACCTGTATTTCCAGTGAAGGTGTAATAGACATGCTTCGAATACATCTCTTGTGCTGGGAAGATATTTGTACTTGTTCGCATTCGTAACTTTTTCTCTACGTTTGTTACCATGAACGCTAGTTATTATAGCCTCCCTACAGGTAGCCTATTTTGGCAGGAAAAGCAATAGTTATTGGTGTATTTTTCTTGTTTGTTTGTTTTTTTTGTATCTTTTATTTTTTATTTATTCACTTATTTATTACTTAGGCTATAGTAATTTCTTATTTGAATTTTCTTCTGGATATTAATTTTTTCATTGATCATTGTTTTGGCATTGAATTTTCTTCAAGATATTAATTTTATTATATATCATCGTTTTGTTGATTTTTTATTCTTTTCGTTGGAAGACCAGTATTAAATTTCAGTAGAACATTTGCAAATGGTCTTCTTAAGTAAAATTAAATGTCTCAGACCAGTTGACTCCAGTATTAGACTTATTGTTATTATTTAGATTTTTTAAGGAATGCTGCATTTGATGAATTGATTCCAGATATTGTTTTAATTACTTTTTGGCAGGATATTTTCTTGATTACACAACTCAATTTTACTGATTGCAACTCGGTTTATTCATTGAATTTTGATTACTTCTCTTTCCCCCAGGTGTTGGAGCCACAGCTGTTGTACACTCAGCGCTATGTATTCCACGCAACGAAAAATGTGCCATCAAGCGAATAAACTTAGAGAAATGGAATACGAGCATGGATGAGCTGCTGGTAAGGGGAGGCCACTGCTGGAGGCCGTCCTGGGCATCCAGATCTCCATGCAAAGACTTTCTTCATCTCCTTCTTCTGTTTTCTTTATCCTTTTTCTTTTCTTTCTAATGCTCCTCCTCTTTCTGCTTTTCCTTTTCTTGCTTCATGTTTTTTCTCCCTCTTTTTTTTTTTCTTTTTTTTTTTCTTTTTCTTTTTCTTTTTCTTTTTCTTTTCTTCAAGATAATCTTTGTTAAAAGATAGAATAGACAGAATGCAGTATATTCAATATTATGTCATATTGTAGGCGAGAAAAACTTATGAAGAAGAATTAAGTTGTAGCAGAATCATAGTCTATTATATATGATATGATATGAAAATATTGACATAGTAATATATATATATATATATATATATATATATATATATATATATATATATATATATATATATATATATATATATATATATATATATATATGAGTGCGTGCATGAGTGTAGCTTTGATACTGTAATAGAATATAACTACAAATGAGAAATTTTACTTCCACAGAAAGAAATTCAGGCCATGTCCTTGTGTCACCATGAGAATGTGGTAACCTACTACACATCCTTTGTTGTAAAAGAAGAGCTATGGCTTGTCCTCAAATTATTAGGTGGAGGATCACTACTTGATATAATTAAGCACAGGTAAATATTTACGTTAGATTGTAAGGAAGTTGGAAGCTGATTGAGTAAATCTAAAAATATATTACATCAAGTAATTTGTCGATATTTCCTTCTTCTTTTTTTAACTCTATTTTTTTAATAACCATATTTCTTGTTACAGCTGTATATAATCTGTGAATTGAAATTTATCACCAGGGACAAATCTTGGCACACACAGTAGTGATGGATAAATACCTGTTATGGGTTGGTCAATAACCTTAGTTGAAGTTAAGATCAAAGGCAATTGCAGCTACAGTTGAATCAGATGCCTTTACCTGTGTCAGGACTAGTTTTCTTCCAGTGCTGAATCCCCCCTCCCCCCCTCCTCCTGGCAAAGGTGTTCTTGACAAGTTAGCTATTATTGTACATGCATTTTGTCCAGATAACATCATTGTATTTCAAATAATTTTCACCAGCAACCTGTCAGCTCTTGGTTTATTTTCATCACCAGCTTGTCAAGCTTTTTTGCTTCAAATGGAAGTCTTACAGAACCCCTCTCACATGCATAAAGAGACCGTGTTCTTGCTGTCATTGTAATCCGAGAAGGCTGATCAGGAGAGAGAAGAGGATGTAGGAATCTTGGACTTGAGTTTTACATTTGCAATACTGATCAGTGCTTGATTTTACACATTAGAGAATTTATACACCTTGGTATGTATTAAATATATAGTATGTTATTAATATCAAAGTCCAGAAAATTGTCACAGGCATCCCACATGTAGGAATTAGCATAATATGTAAGTAAAACACACACAAATCAACTAAAACACATTTTTATCAGGATAAGATAGGTTATATAATACCAGCATTGCTGATTCACACTTACTACATTCCATTCATATGAAAAAAGACTGTATGAGGATGATATGAGTATGGATAGAGGAATCTTGCCTACTACTGCCATATATCAGTAGACAGTCCTTGTCTCTTTGATCATGAAAAGGACACAGGATAAAAGCTATCCAGTCTTTTGATAGGTAGTTCATGATCATGGCAAATATTACTAAGAGCACAGGATGCAGGAAGCCACGATGGGTAATGGGACCTTGGGTGTCTAGGAATTCCCAAGTCATGCTGATAAGATTGTTGTAAAGCTTGCCAAGAGATCAAGCTAGAATTAGTGTGTACTTTAAGCTAAACCAGGGCCACGTTACATGCCATTTCGACTGAGATTTTAGTTTATTGATTGTGTTTTTACATAGATGTCTCCTCAAGGGCTTTGTGAGTTAGTCCTACTAATCTTGTGTGTATAACCTTTTCCATGATCCCCCCCCCCCATTAGTATTGTCAATAACATTATAACAGTCATAATGTCAATAATAGTAATAAAAATATCAGTATTAATCCATCACTTTAAATGCTTATATTCAATAGTAACCCCAGACAATTGATGTGACTACCATCAGAGAAAGACAAGCTCTGTTGAGGGAGCCATTGGCGTGGGGTATGTCATGGTGTGATGCCATCTACAACTTAGTCCACACATCACCCATGCCGTGAAATCATGCCGTCCACAACCAGAGAGGGTTAACAGCTTTAGAAAAAAAAAAAAATCCTGCCAGCAATATGTTGTCTTAGTGGTAATTTTTGAGAAATTAACCATCCTCTTTGCCTTCTCCTCTTTATATTATTTTATCTTTTAAAATCATGCCAATTATATTATTTTTTCTTCTCCTCTCTGCTTTTACCTCTCTTTCCTCCTTTTCCTTTAGCAATTTGATATGTAACTCCTTTGTCTCTTCTCATTTTCATTTTTACTTTCATTATTTATTTTGTCTTCTGCATTCTCCTCTTTCTGCCTTGTTCACTTTCACATACCCCCCCCCCCCTCTCTCTCTCTCTCTCTCTCTCTCTCTCTCTCTCTCTCTCTCTCTCTCTCTCTCTCTCTCTCTCTCTCTCTCTCTCTCTCTCTCTCTCTTTCTCTCTCTTTCTCTTTCTTTCTCTTTCTCTCTGTCTTTCTCTCTCCCCCCCCCCTCTCCTTCTCTCTCCACAGTTTTTATTCTTTATTTGGCATTTGTCTCATTTATTTTCATTTTCCTCCTCCTCCTCTCTTCCTGCTCTTATTTTACTTTCTTCTCCGCTTTCTCTCTTTTTGCCTTTTCCATCTCTTTGCTTCTTGTTCTCTTCCATATCCTCCTCATCTTTCTTTTCTAAGTCATCTTCTTCATCCACCATCATCCCCCCCCCCCCCCCATTTTAATCTTTTATTATTAGTTTTGGTTAGTTACAGGTTTCCTCTGATTACAAGCTTTTCGGAGATTCTCTGAACCGAGTGCATAGCATAGGGTGAGCCTCCTTGACGCCCGAATATAAGTATACCGTTATTTGTTGCAGAATGAAAACCTCTGACTGTAAACATGGGGTGTTCGATGAGGTAGTGATCGCCACAGCATTACGAGAGGTGCTTAAGGGACTAGAATATTTCCATAATAATGGCCAAATACACAGGTATGTTTGTGAATCTTTAAAGGAAAATAAAAGAGAGAGTTCAGTTAGTTGTTGTTTGTTGCAGAATGAAAACGTCTGACTGTAGACATGGAGTATTTGATGAATTTGTGATCGCCACTACATTGCGAGAAGTGCTTAAGGGCTTAGAGTATTTCCATAATAATGGCCAGATACACAGGTAGGTAAACTAGGAGGGTACATCACCACAAGCAGAATGTGGTTCTCTGCATCCAAAGTTGAAACCCTCTGGCAGCCTCTGGACAACTTTTTAACCCCTTTTCTCCCCCTAAGATGGATGAGTAACCAGCATGTTAAGGATGTTGGCCATGTCTGTTTTAGTTCACACATTTTTATTTACACACACACAAACACAAAAACACACACACAAACATATACACAGACCTATACACAGACATGTACACAGACATGTACACAGACTTGTACACATACGTATTCACATACATACGTACATACATACGTACATACATACGTACATACATACATACATACATACATACATACATACATACATACATACATACATACATACATACAT